GCAGTTAGCTTATATATATATATATGTGTGTGTGTGTGTGTGTGTGTGTGTGTGTGTGTGTGTGTGTGTGTGTGTATGTGTATGTGTATGTGTATATATGTGTATATATGTGTATATATGTGTATATATATGTATATGTATATATGTATATATGTATATATATGTATGTATGTATACCAAATGCTATAATTACTTGAGCTTATATATATCTTGTGCATATCCTATTATTCCCATTTCAAAAAGTGACCCATTTTTTAATTGAGACAATATACTTTTGAATCTTTTTTATAGAATCGTAGTGTTAGAAGGGACCTTTTAGGCCAGTGAATCCAACCCCTGCTTAGTGCAGAAATTCAAATTAATATACCTGCAATAGATGACTATCCAATCTCTAAATGGATACAAACAGTGAAGGAAAGCCCACCACCATTCTGGGTAATTTGTCCCACAATTGAACTGCTCTTATCACTATACTTTCCCCCCCCCTAATGTTCAATCAGAATCTGTCTTCTTTTAAATTTGACTTGGCTTTCTTCTATGTGACATTTTCTCAAGTGTTTGGAAAGTCCTATCTTATGCACATCCCTTTTCTCACTTTTGAAGACAAAACATTCCCGGTCCTTAGTATATCCTAAGGCAGTGATAGCTAACCTTTTTGTCCTCATGTGCCAAAAACGCACGTGCGCACACACAACAGCGTATGCACACGTGCCCATACCCATAATACAATGTGTGTGTGCCCCCCACGCAAGCTTGTGTGCCCCCTCATTTTGGGCTACCTCCCCCCTGTGCATGCCTACGTTGTTACAGGAATTATGTCGACCTTGTATGCAGCTTTATTCCTCTCTAGCATTCATCTACCATTGTTCGGTGATGCATTTCCTGTCTCTCTAGGATTTACCTCTATCTGCTCCTGTGAGGCATTTCCTGTTCCTGTTGGATGGATATCGATGGCTTGTATAGTGTTTTGCAGAGACCCAAAAATCAGCTGCTCAGAAGTGCATGCTTGGTGGAGCTCAGCTGGGGCTTGCATGCCGGCAGAGAGGCCTCCAAGTGCCACCTGTGGCACGTGTGTGGCACAGGTTTGCCATCACGGTCCTAAGGATTTAAGTTTTTAATGCCATCATCATGGATACCTCTCGATCTATTCCAATTTTTTAAAGTCCTCCTTAAAGCGTTGTCCCAAGAATGGGATTCAGGACAATTGATAGGGTATGATCAAACCAAAATGACGTGCAAGTAGTCCTCATTGAATGACCACTCGGTTGAAGACTATTCAAAGTTGCAAGGGTGATGAACGAAGGGGATCTTCAATGTGTTCGTGGTTGTCACACAGTATCCATGCAGTCATATCATCACAATTTGAGTGGGTGGCAGCCAGTTCGCAACTATGACCTCATAGTGTTCTGTGGTCAGTGATACATGTTCACTCTTTGTGTCCTTTACTGCTGGCTTCCAACAGTAAAATCAATAGGGAAGTTGGCAACTGATTGCAAATGATCAATACAAATGACACTACAACTATACAGGATTTGCCTACTCTTCCAGGAAGACAAGGCAGCTTCTACGGGAATCTCCCTTCATTTTATCTCAACAACAATCCTATGAGATAGGGTGGACTGAAAGAGTGACTAACTTAAAGTCATCCAGTGTGTTTCCATGCCTGAAGGTGGACTTGGTTGTCCTATGATTTAGAATCTGTATACAGCCTTCAATTTCTTTCTTTTTAGATACATCATTATTACTTGCTTTTTATGAAATAAAATGCAATTACTGCTTTCTTTATATTTAGGAGATCACGGAAAACTTGGTATATGAGAAACCTGAGAATCCATTAGAGTTTATATTAAAGCAGGTACGTTTCCAATACTTTGGTGAAGAAAAAGGGGCAGTTTTGAGTATATATAGATACATATTGCTTTAGAAAAGATAGCAGTAATACAGGTGGTCCTTGGCTTATGCCCATTCAAACAGTGACCATTCAATGTTATAGCAGCACTGAAAAATGGATAGACAAGTTCACCTCCCAAGGTTCCTGAAAAAGCTAGCTGAAAAAGCTGTAAAACACTCTAGTAAGTGGCTTCTGTTTTTTCTCCCTCCTGCATCATGCTCCTACCCATGCTGGTTTTCTAAGACCCTCCCTGGTCTCCTGCAACTCGTGGTCTACATTGACCCTCCCAAGCCATCTTGTGACTTGCATCAACCATCCCAGGCATTACCTTGGCTTGTCCTACCCATTATGTGCTCTTTAATTATGTTTCTCACCACTTCCAGCTTAACAACCTGCACTTCTTGTGGTTATGGTAGCAACCAGGAGTGCTTGGGATTGCCATTACCAAGCAATACAGTCACATGATGTTGTGCTTTATGATTGCAGCACTTACTGTCCCAATTGGTGTCATAACCTGAGGACTACCTGTTGCAGCAAATAAATCTGTGATAATACCAGAGAACATTTGTATGCCCATAAGTTGAATTACGAGAAAAAATGTATTGACTTATGGAAGCCCTACTATGACTTATAGTAGGGCTATGTAGCAATCTGAATTTGATCTGAAAGAGCTTCTGTGGAACTCTGGGGAGCATAGGACAACGTTTTTCAGTGAGTCATTAAAGCAGCTGTGTTTCTTTCCATATTGCAAAGCTGCAGCAGAAATCTTCTCACTGTTTTAATGAGTCCTGGAAAAAGTAACTGTTTTAATGGATCCCAGAAAAAAGTTGCTTTCTATTCCAATACATTTTGAAACATCTCTTCCGAATCAAACCTAAAGCATTGCACAGTTTTAGAAAACAAAAAAAATAGACCATATAATCCATATGCAAGTACCATCTGAGTCAGCAAATTCTGCATGCTCCAGAAGGAGACAAATCTAATTTGATAGGCAAATCTGGGGAAAGGAGCATAATTGATTTGTTTGCCAGTAAATGGCAAAATATTTTGTTTTCATCAACTAGTAAGCTAGGATTTTATGGCACCAAGTGTGATAGAAATTAGTACACAGGTTTTGAATTGTGCAGTGAATTGAATTTCTTTTACAGTGCTCATAATTTTGGCTTTTAGACAAAATCTGATGATGCTTGCAATAATAATTGTTGCCTTACAAGGAAAAATGGTGCTAAATTTCTGACCAACAGCTTGAGGAGAAAAGAGGCATTCATAAGAAATACAATGCCTTTTTCTGAATGTGATATGACTTTTTATCAGGGGTTGAAGCAAAAATAGATAAATTTCCATGAAGTAAATAAACATCAAATTAGCGGATTAACATAGATCAAAATATGTCGTCACACAACTCTAGAAAATGGGAGACTAAGTAACAATAAGGCTGAGCAGAGTAAATCTTAACTCCCAACATTTCTCTAACCACCAAGAAGCAGTGTTTCATTGGCTAAAAATGGTCCCCGCACAGGTATCAAACCAATCAGTACTTTCATTTCCTCATCTCAACACCTTGGGTTTGTTGTTTTTATTTATTTTTAACGTGACTATAGGGGACGCTCTTTATAAAATGCCAGGATTGCAGAAAAACAGATGAGTGCCAGAGCTTCATGGAGACCCAAAATCAGAATTAAATTATTCTGTCCTCTCTGCTCTTATTAAATGAATATATGTTCTGAATTATCTCCTTTTGCCTGGAATTTAATGTATTGTATTTTTTGGAGTATAAGAAACACCTTTCCCCCCAAAAAAGAGGGTGAAATCTGGGTGAGTCTTATACACTGAATGCAGCATTTTTGGCCTACCAACCTTTGCAAAAGTTGACATGCAGAGGCTTTGGGAGGCTTGCAAAGTACTCCTGGGGGCTGAGGAGGGCAAAAACTAGCAAAAAATGGGCTATTCCCCCCCCAGCCCCCAGGAGCATTCCACAAGCCTCTGCATGGTCCCCCTTTTTTTTTTTGCAGAAAAAAGAGCTCATTTTTGCAAAAAACAGACTGTTTTTGCTCATTTTTGGTTCCCCCCCCAGCTCCCAGGAGCATTCTACAAGCCTCCCAAGGCTCTGCATGCCTTTTTTTTTGCCAAAAACAAAGCATACAGAGTGTTTGGGAAGCCTGCAGAGTGCAAAAAAATTTCTTAAAAAAATTACCTCTTCAAAATCATTGTGCGTCTTAGACTCCGGTGCGTCTTACAGTCTGAAAAATGTGATACCTTGAGCAGGTGTATTTAGCAAATACCTCTTGTTTAACAAAATAACCACCTTGTTATCAGGTGAATTATATATGGAGAAAGTATTTGTCATGATGTTTTTAATCAGTGTTCCTACATATGTGTACAGTATGTCCTATGGTGTGTTCTAAAGCATTGATTGGAAGCATTTTTCCTCCAAGTATTTTGGTCTTTGATCGCTGCAGGGGCCATAATGCAGTGTTGTTACTGGATGTAGAGTGTTAAAAATACTTCATGGGATCATTTGAAGGGAACTTGGAGGTTTTCTATTTCAATATCCTGTTTAGGGCGGGACTCCTCAGTTCATATGAAATGATTGTCCAAAACCTCTAATGATAGAAATAGCAATAGCAGTTAGACTTATATACCGCTTCATAGGGCTTTCAGCCCTCTCTAAGCGGTTTACAGAGTCAGCATATTGCCCCCACAGTCTGGGTCCTCATTTCACCCACCTCGGAAGGATGGAAGGCTGAGTCAACCTTGAGCCGGTGAGATTTGAACCGCCGAACTGCAGATAGCAGTCAGCTGAAGTGGCCTGCAGTACTGCACTCTAACCACTGCACCACTTCGGCTCGGAAAATCCAGGAGGCAAGCCAATCGATGGTTTAACAGCTCTCAGAATCAGGAAATCCATCCTTATTTTTATTTTTGGATCTGTCTGTGTAAAGTTCCCACTCTTTCTTATCCTAAGAGATTTAAGGGGATAAATCAACTGTTTCTCTAAAGTCTATGTTCTTTTTTTATAGAAATGTTTTTTCCCCTCCGAGCATTTTTCCTGCAAATGCAACATTTGTTTTCCACACCCAGTGGAAAATCAACCAACTGTTGATCTGTTAGTTGTGATAGGACTTGATTGACCAGCTTGTTGCCAAAGCTGATGATGTAGGCTGAAAGGAAATGACTGGCTCAAAGTCATGGAGTTGGCTTTGATGCCTTACTCACAATCTCTGAGTTTCTGGCTTGGTGCCTTAACCACTAGACCAAACTGGCTGTTAGGTTTTAGAAATGAAAATGGATGTGTTAATTTATGCAGAAGCTAGCCCTGCGATAAGGAGAGAGCTGAAATTCTTCTATGATCCCTTGGTTGACAATATTTTACTGAGCCACGGTGGCACTCTGGTTAGAGTGCAGTACTGCAGGCTACTTCTGCTGCCTGCCGGCTGCCTGCAATTTGACAGTTCAATTCTCACCAGGCTCAAGGTTGATTCATCCTTCCATCCTTCCAAGGTGTGTAAAATTAGGACCCAGATTATTGGGAGCAATATGCTGACTCTGTAAACCGCTTAGAGAGGGCTGTAAAGGGGTATATAAATCTAAGTGCTATTGCTATTTTTACAGTATGCATGTATGAATGATGAGAATTTGTTACTGGTGTTTCCATGCTACTCTCCTCCAATACACAACAGAAATAAAGGTTAAAAACATCAAACTGTGACAATAACTATATACTGTCCTAACCAACTAAGATAGATCACAAAAAACAACCTAACATCGTAAATGCCTTCTTCCAAAGCCCTGGTTTTTTTCTCCCTTTTCAGAAGTTTAGGAGGGAAGACATGATTCATATCAGTGGTGGGTTTTCATTTTTTTATTACTGCTTCACTCATGCATGTGTGTGATGTTTCTGTGCATGCGCAGAAGCGTCCTGGCGGGTGGGTGGAGCCTCCTCCTGCCACTAGTACCAGTTCGCCCGATCCGGGCCAATCTGGGAGCAACCTACCTCTGATTAATATATATGGAGGCAACTTCTTCTCAATTAGGGATGTAGCCATTGAGAAGGCCCTGATTCAGATGTAGATGTTACAGGGTGGGTAGATTCACTTTGAAGCAAGGTTTTAAAAATGACTGTCAGTTAGTGCACATTCTGGAATGGAATGCTATGTAGGCAAATCTCAAAGGGGTCAGTCTGAACTATTGCAGTATCAGTTTAAACTTCTGGGTAGTTTTCAAGAGCAACTCCACATAGTCGCTGTAATTCAATTATGTAATAATAAGGACCTGAAATTCTTCCTGGTCCAGAAAAGCTCACAATTAGTACACAAGACGTAACTGTCGCAATTGTGATAATTAGATAATTTTTTGCATTATCTGTAATCCAAAATGGTATGAATAATGTTCATTGCATTCGTTAGACATTCTACTGTGCAACAGCACCACACATACAAAGTCTGAAATAGACTTTATCCTTATAAGATGTCTTCTGTAATTACTGTTATATCTGAAGAATCTATAATGACTGAAGCCATTTTGTTTTCTGTTGTTTTCTAGGTCCAGACAATGATAACTCACAGGAATCAACCAAATGTGGAAGATGAAAAACAAGAATAAATATAGACAACTGAAAATTTAAGGATATACCTTTGGACACTCTAAAGAGGGCAACATGCTTCCATGCTACCCAGTTTTATCCTGTCTGCATGCATATCTTATAGATCTAAACAATATCTGTGGTAACTGAATATGTACTTCCCATGCAGATGCTAGAATATCTAGAATAACAACAACCACAAAACCGTAGTTGCTGTAGCACAGATAGCAGAGAATTTAGGAAATGCATATTTGCATAGGCTTTGTACTTCTCATTAGTACTGTTGCACTAATCTTCTTCATAGTCTGAAAGATTGTATGATCTTATGAAAATAGTAGAGCTGCAGAATGGGTAATATAAATAATCTCTCCCTGCCTTCTGTGAGTGGGAATGTAAAAACAAACTCATAATTAAAAAAAACATTCTAGGATTTCAGAGGCTAGCCTCACCTTTTGGTGTAAGTTTGACACGTGTAAGGATAGTACCTTTTTCTTATATAAAAAAGTATGAAGATGTGAAGTACCATTTCCAGAGTAAAGTAGAGCTCGTCTGGTTTATAAATATCATTTATTTTAATATCTTTAAGAGAATGGTTCCCAGACTATTTATCAATATGGAAAGGATACGGTTTAGTACTGTTTAAAGAGCTATATCTTGGTTGCGAACCTACATTAAAGTTAGGTGTCGTATTAGTTTAAATAGGAATTCTTCACTTTAGCCTAATTATGAATTGGCTGCGATTAATAGACAATCCTACCAAGTGAACTCTTCATAATTTACAGTGTGATTGAAATTAATATCATGTTAAACTTAAAATCCAGGTGCCAGAATTTATCTTGCATTATATTGTTTGGAAACATTAATTGCAAATTCTGATTGAACCTGTTTGGAAATGGAGATAACTGTAATGAAAGTGATTAAGATTATCATATGTAGACTGGAAACCAATTGTTTCTTACCATCTAATGGCAATTTGGAATTTTCCAGCACAGACTTGGTAGTTCTGGTTTCATGCTAGCATCCAAACAATAAACTCTACCTTGGATTTGATATTCTATCCATCCATCCATCCATCCATCCATCCATCCATCCATCCATCCATCCATCAGTTCAGTTCAGTTCAGTTCAGTTCAATTTATTACAGTCAAAGACAAGAGATCAGAATAAAAACACTCAGTAAATATACAATTAAAATTCTAGAATAAAATAATAAATAACAACTAAAATCTATGGTAAAATCCACTCCGTCAATTATACATGGTCTAACTACTAAAATTACAATCCATAAATTGTGTAGCCCATTGTCAGTTTAATACTAAAAAGAAAAGGAATAAGCAGTGCAAAGGGTTTGCCACATTTGTTCTAGCTATCTTATCATCTCCCTCTCTCCATATCCACCCACCCACCGACTTTGGAGATGTTCCTGATGCTAACGAAAGGAAATAGAAAGTATTAGTTAACCAGGAAATCAGCTGTTGTGTTTCCTATGTCTTCAGAATGTCTAGGAATGAAAAGATATACACGTAAGACCACAATTGGGATCAGAATTTCTGTTGCTAACTAGGGCAGTTGTTAAGTGAGTTGTGCCCGATTTTATGACATTTTTGCACAGTTACAAAATGAAACAGTTTAGTTGTTAAGTGAATCACACCATTGTTAAGAAAATCTGGCTTCCCCTATTGACTGGGCTTGTTGGAAACTGGCTGGGAAAGTTGCAAATGGTGATTACATGACCTGGGGTGCTGCAGCTATTGTAAAATCCTGTTGTAACTTTTGTAAATATAATATGCTAGTTGCCAAGTGCCTTAATTTTGATTACATAACATGGGGACATGACAGTTATAACTATGAGGATAAGTCATAAATAACTTTTTACAGTGTTGTTGTAACTTTGAATGATCGCTAAACAAAATACTATAAATTAAGGACTACCTGTATATATTCAGAATTTCCGAGAGCCAGTTTGGTCTAGAGGCATCAGGCTAGAAATCAGGAGACTCTGAGTTCTAGTCCACCTTAGACATGAAAGCTGCTGGGTGATTTTAGATCAGTCTCAGGCAACAAGCTGACTGAATTCCTGTCACAAACAATGGATCAATATTTTGTTGAAAAAAGACGACCTTGCACTTGTGGTAAAACACAAGGAAGAAAGTGTGTGTGTGTGTGTTCAGGCTCTGAGATCCTGAACAATAGATTGAAGATTTTTTCAAAAGTTTATTTTGCATATTTTCTAGATCCAAGATCTACCTACCCCTCTTCCCACCCACCCCTCTTTCCCTCCTCCCTCTGCTTCTAGCAAAAAATATATTGTAGCACCATCAGTTAAATTTGACAGTGCCCTAGCTCATTCAGTGGGAGACACAACAACTAGGCAGAGGGCATTCTTGTTTATTTTAGCATGTAGTGTGTGAGAGAGTGAGAAGAAACGAACTGAACAGCTACGATGTTCTGAGGCATTATAGGATTTAAAAGTATATGGGAGTTTTCTATGTAACATTCTAGCAACCATAAAGTTCCAGGACAGTAGTATCTTCTTGTAATCTGTTCTTCCTTCAAATGGAGGCAGCAGAATAGGTTGCAAATTGTCCCTTTAGGCATTGGTGTGAGTGGCACCACTTTCTTTATTTTTATGCCATTTCAGAGTTGTTAATGATGCAAGAAAACTAATCTTTGTGGATCAGGGAATTCCCTTAAAATCATATTTGGTACCTTAGTAGGTAATTCATGTTCTAACAGCACTACCCAGGCACAAGAGAGAAATAACAACATATCTGGCTAATTGAGTTATGCAGAAGGAGAAAAAAATAAAAGAAAAAAAGATACTAAAGGGAATCAGACAGTTCTATGAGAAATAAGCATGCTGATGTCAGTTGTGTGCACGTTATCTGCATCTTTACAGAATATAATATCTTAAAATAAGTCATGGTTGGAAGAATAGAAACACACACCCCGACATTTATTTTCTTGCAATTCTAATTAATAAAATACCACAGTGGAAGAAATAAAGGTAAAACTTTTGTAAAACTTCCGTCTGTGACCACCAGATGGCATCAAAAGCTTATAATCTTGCTGAAGAAACTTAATTGTTAATAGAGATGTAAGAAAGCAAAGGAACAATTTACAGGTTGTATACAGCCCAAAGCCAGCAAGTCAAAATAAAAACCTGAACATAATATATACTTCCAAGTACTACATTTTTAACTCCATCTAAAATAAAAGAATCCTTGAGCACTAACAAATTGGAAGTCATGTAGACTTACTACTACGTCTATGGTTTTCCATATGGTTTATGGATTGATTTAATGTTTAATGTTTCTTAGTACTTTACATGATAACATGCTCCATTTCTAACATTTCAAACAGATAGTAAATGTATAAAATTTATGTTTATTATCCCCATAAACCAAGGACCTCTACAAATTGTATTTAAGATGGCTATTTAAGATGTACTTCTTAACAATTTGCCTTCTATATTTGCAATTTCAGAATTGACAAATGACTATTCAGTTAATTTTTTCAAATAGACTTCTGGGTGGAAAGTAATTTAACTGCTGTTTCTTTTCCAACCCATCTTTCTGAATCTAGAGAAGCTTTGGAAACAATTAGAAGGAAGTTGCAATTATTTTTAAATAATTTGCCACTAATGCTGAGTGTTTGGTTCTCTTTTATATTATGGGAATGGGGAAATAGCTGCCATCCACTTGATATGTCCCCAGATTGTTAACCACGTGAGAATGGGACTGATGGTTTGGAGAATAGATAACCTGTGCAATGGCAAATGTCATAGCCATCACTGAAACTTGGTAGGATGACTGACACATATGCCTGAAACATAGCCTGGGGATGCTATAACTTATTTGAAAACAATGCCCTCAACAAAAACTGAGTGTTGCACTACATATAAATAAAGCACATGCCAAAACTGCATGTATTGTTAAGAGCTTTGACATAAGAATAAAAGAAGAGAGAAATCAATGTGACATCCTCATGGCATTTATTATAAACTGCTTTGAGAGGCAGCAGATACAGATCTTTTTTGTGTCTGGTTACCAAAATTTCTAAAGAAGCACACAATAGTGATAATGGGAGATTTCAGCCACCTTGAGCAGTGCTGTAAATCTAATCCTGCCAAGAGTCAGAGGTCCAACCAAGTCCTGTCATCTTTTGTAGACAATTGTCAGGAGATAAAAGAACAATGAAGCCTGGATCTAATATTTATCAAGATGGATGAATTTGGGGGCAACCATGTTATCCTTGAATTCATGATATCAAGGGCAGATAAATTAGGAAGAGCCCTATTTCTATTTTACATTTCAGAATAGATTCTGATAAACTCAAAAGGTAGGTTAGATGAAATGGTTTAAATTCCTGAAGGAGGAATGAATGGATAAAATTTAACAGGAACAAGTACAAAGTCTTGTATCTGGAGAGGGGAGGAAAGGCACACAGAATGGCATATGTATCTTGTTCATAATACCTATGAAAAGAATTTAGGTGTTTTATTAGCTCACTAGCCTACTATGTTCTGTTCTAGACAGACTAACCTTAAAATAAATGACTGAGTTTAGAAGAGGGTTACCAAGGTAATGGTGTCTCTAAAATAGTTAAAAGATCTAAGTATATTTAGCTTCAGATAGATAGAGCAGTCTCCAGATATCTCAAAAGTTATCTCAATGTGATAATTAGTGATGTCACTAATAATGCCTATCCTTTGAGGATCCCTCTTTAAAGAGTTTTTTTTCCTTCCCCAAAATTGTTTTTTTTTCTTTGTATTTCTACAAATGTGTGGATTTATTCATGCTGACATCTTGATAGATTGGTTTTATTATGGTTTGCTGCACAGTCATTCGTGATGTTCAGACTGGATTTAGCATTTTTATCCACCCATTGGAATCTTGCAAGGATGTGGAATAGACAGATGTTGATGTTTAATGGTTGTTGCAAGAGATAAGCCGTTTCAAGTTAAGCTGCCTTTTGCAATTGACCAATTATGATGTTGCCAATGCCAATGAGGTTCAAGTGATGCTCCAGTTGTTTTGGGATTGCACTCAAGGTCCCTCTTCCTATTGGCATTCCTATTTATTTATTTGTACTTATATTTATTTATTATCACATTTATTTGTCACCCATCTTGCAATTCAAAGAAACATTTGATTTTAGAAATATTTAAGGCTGCCTAACTTTTCAATGACTCTGGGGGAGAGTACAGTAAAAAAAAACAAAAAACTGTACAATGCAATTATAACAAAGGCTAAACCCACAACCCAAGTACCAGAAAATAAGCGAATCAAGCATGCAGAATCTAACATATGCTCTGTCGCAGGTCTAGGGAAAAAGCCAGGTTTTCAGAGCTCTTTTCAACACAGCCAGGGTGAGGCCAGATCATGTATCTTTTATTTGGGAGATGGACCTCTCAACTTCTCAGTGGTACTGGCCAATATGAACACTGACTCAATTTTTATTGTATAGGCATTAACTTGAATGAAACCATTCCTTTTAATATCATTTCCAGAATTTCATCAGATACCTCTTTAGTTTATGGCCTGTACAGGCAGGCCAGCAAATTGTCTTATTATATTTATATTCCATTTTCTTTGGAGAAGCATAATGCAGAACATGTACAAGGCTTCCTTACATCTTTTTTCTACTCAGTGCAATTCTAGGAGGTTGATTGTCAATGACATAACAACTGGCTTGCAATGACCTTATAGATGAGTTCACACAACACATTTATCTTAGATACTGAATTAAACTTCTTTCTGGAATCACTCAATATATTCAGAGAAAATCAAACAAACCGAATATACTGGAAGGTAATAGATACCGAAGGAAAGAGTCGAGTGAAAGAAGAAGGAGGGTGGAGAGGGTGAGAGAGAGGAGGAGGAGAAGGGAGGGAGGGAATGGAGAGGGAGTGATAGGGTTAAGGTTAGAAAGAAGGGGAGGGGAAGTAGGCGTAGAGGGGTGTGTGAGAAGGAAGAATGAAAGTTGGAGGGGGTTGAAAGAGGGTGTATGGTAGGCCAAGGTGGTATACTGGGTTTGTATTGTAGAGGGCATTTTCTATATAAGTGAGGGCCGTGTTTATTATTCAATGTTATATGCCCTGATTAAGCACAGTGAATATGTGATTGTATAGAATGAAAACATAATAAAAAATATATAAAGTCTAAATATATTCAGAGAAAATCAGTCAAACAGCTTGCATTCACAGAATACATAAGCTACACACACAAACATCTCAGCAAAATTAACAAACATAGTAGGTTGTGAGTATATAGCTATTAGATATTTCACTGGCCCAAGAAGTGTATGGTATGAATCCAGCCATTGAGTGCCTTGGTTAAGTGAGGGGTCCATTCTGGTTTTCCTACTTTCAATTCACTCTTACTGATTCTCATAATACCCTGCTTCTTTTAACATAACTGACTCATAGTGGAACAAAATAGGATACATCTTGTGGCAACTTAAAAAGATAAACAAATGTGTTGGAACATAGAATCACAGGGCTGAAAGGAACTTGGGAGGTCTTCTAAGCCAACTCCCCTGCATGAAGTAGGAGACCTTATACCATCCTGGACCAATGGTTGTCCAATATTTTCCTGAAAGCCTGCAATGATGGACTACCCATGACCCTGGGCTATTCCATTGATAAATTGTTCTCACTGTCAGGAAATTTCTCCTTAGTTCCAGATTGGATTTCTCTTTAATGAACTTCCATCCATTGCTTTCTGGTGCTTTGGAGAATACATTGTCCCACCTTTTCTCTGCGACAGCCCTTCAAATACTGGAAGACAGCTATCATGCTATTCCTAGAAATATCTAGTTCTCTCAATGGTTCATTATACTACTTAGCATCCAGACCCCTTATAACCTTTGTTACTCTTCTTTAAACTATTTCTATGCTCAGCATCTTTTTTCTATTATGGTGTCCAGAATTGGACACAGTATTCCAAGTATAGCCTTACTAGTGCAGTATAAAGCTATACTATCATTTTAATTATCTTGATGCTATCCCTCTGTTGATGAGTCTAAGACTATGTTGACTTTATTGGCAGCTGTAATACATTGTTGGTTCATACTTAAGTGGTTCTCCACTAGGACACCTAGATTCCTCTCACAGTTTTACTCTTGAACCAGGTACTGCATAGTCTATATTTGTACATTTGGTTTCCCCCCCCCCCTCCTAAATGCAGGACCTTATTTTTCTCACTACTGAACTGCATCTTGTTGGATAGGGCTTAATGCTCAAGTCTATCAGGAATCTTATGAATCTTGAGTCTGTCTTCCAAATTGTTAGAAATCCTCCCATGCTCCCTAGCTTGGTGTTGTCTGCAAATTTGATGAGCTCCCATCCTAGACTCACATCTAGATCATTTATGAAGATGTTGAGATGTTGGGCTCACGATAGAACCTTGAAGTGCTCCACTGCATGTAGATGTAGTTCCTCCTTTACCTTTTGGATGACAAACTTGTTAGAAGCCACCTGAAGAACCTGTTTGATGTCCCATTCGCTGCAAAGTTTGTGTCCCAGTTGATGCCAGAGTAGTTAAATTATTTCGCTACTACAGTAGTGTGTTTCCTGATCAGAAAAAAGTTCAACTATTTACTCTGCTTGAATGGATAGCCTGTAGTATACACCTACAGCAATGTCATTTCTTTTTCCTCTAGTAGTCACCCAAATGCTTTTATCCTTGTTATTCTGTATTCAATAGATATGTAGTGATTTCTTTACTTACACTACAACTCCTACTCTTTTGTTGGGTCTGTTACTTTTGAACAATTTATATCCTTCTAGGACACAGGTATCAAACTTGATTGCATCACAGGCCAAATCGTGATGTATCACGATGTTTTTTTTTCCTTTTTTCCTAGGTGGGCTTGGCCTACATGTGACATATCCAGCCCGCAGGCTGCCAGTTTGACAAGCGTGTTCTAGGAGTACATTCCAATCATGGGTTCCATACCACCAAGTTTCAGTAATGGCAACAATGTTGTATCTGCCCTCATGTACTAACTAGGACTTCAAGTTTATCCTGTTTGTTCCCCATACTTTGAACATTAGTGTATAAACATCTGAAACTTTTATGGCTGACCCTGCATGTGCTTCTTACATCTGTTTTTTAACTGAGTTCCTCTCACTTCTTTCCACTTCCTTCCTCATTGTCTGATGCTTTGGGGTTTCATTGCCTTCACAGTGAATTCCCATGAAAAACAAGAATACCAATAATGTTACATCTTTAAAATACTACAATGAGAACAGAGTAAAAGTGGTCGGCCAGCAATAAAACATATTTAGGAAGTTCCTGATAATTTCATTTAAGAGGGCAAGGAAGATGGAAATGATGAGGAAATGAGGAATTGAATAACTGGTTTCACAAGTTACATTGGAAAAGAGCATTTAGTGAGAAATACCAAAAAGTCTTCACATTCGTACTGCAAGGAACAGAAATGAATATATATCTGCTAGAAATCTCTACTTCAAGAGCTCTAAGCATTTACAAGAAATGGCTTAAAACCTGTTTGGAAGTGAGAGGTGCTCATTCAAGGTTGTAAGTAGTTACACAATGATATCACTAGAGGGGGTGGAACACTTCTTCAGCCTCTTGGGAGTTCTTCTGAACCTTCACAATATGTGCTTCGTGAGCATAAAAGTATTCCAATTTCTCAAAAATGTTTTTTTTTGAAGAAGCAGACTTTCGGAAGTACAATGTGTGCAAGCTCTCCCATATTTAAGTTTATTCTCAGAAAGTTAGATTTTTTTAAAATGTTTTTTTGTTTTGATTTTGTTAATTTTCATAGTGAGGTAGTGAAGAGTATGTATGTTACTGCTTTTTCCAGTTATGCATTACCACAGCACTCCTGTTTGATTCCTGTTCCTTTTTTTTTTTTAAAGGGAAGAGCAAGATAAGCTAGTTCCAAATGTTCTCCCTCAGATTAATGGGATCATGATAGGCCAGGAAGACTTCAGGTTGCTAGAGAGTTTATTTGAAAAACAAATGATCAGGAACTCACAAACTACTTTCAGCTATCCCACAACCAAGTTTAGTCGAAGAATCCCTTGTTTTGCCCATGAACATTTCACCCAAACATTTCCCCTTGACAACAAGTTCAGAAGACATTTCCTTTCTCCTTAACTACATGGAAATTATTCTTTAAGAAATATTAAGCAGGACAAAAGTTAAACTAGCCTGCAGAACAATCTTCTCAGTTATAGCTTTCCCAATCTTTTACTCTCATTTTTTTTCATCCTCTCTGTTGCATAGAGCCAGTGTACTAAGTCAGATCTGAATTGTGTCTTAATTTCCCATTGCTTCACGTAGTTTATTATCTATGTCACTATCCTGATCTTTATTGATTTTTGAACAAGATACATATAGTACAAACTCACAGTCAGAATATGGGTATCTTTTTGCTGTAGAGAGGACACTTGAGGTAAATCTCCTATCACATTGTATCTATATATGCTGCATATATAGATACTGTTAATCTGTTTCTGTTAGTCACTTACTCCATTGCTTGAAGCCAAAGCCACAGTTTTCCTACTGTAAATTAAATTGTTCAGATCATGTATTGTTGGGTTATGTGGATATGGATGGCGGTTCCTTTGGTGCTGCACTTTGGATTATTCCCATTGCTTTGGCAAGACTGTTAATATGAAAAACTATATAAATATTTGCATAAGGAGATAGTAGAAGAAAGTGGGCAGTCTTTTGGCAGGACTAGAACTCCCCATCTCCCGGTGATCGGCCAAAGTCACCCAGCCAGCTTTCATATCTAAGACGGGACTAGAACTCACCATCTCCCGGTGATTGGCCAAAGTCACCCAGCCACCTTTCATGTCTAAGGCAGGACTAGAACTCCCCATCTCCCAGTGATCGGCCAACGTCACCTAGCCAGCTTTCATGTCTAAGGCAGGACTAGAACTCCCCATCTCCCGGGGAGTTTAATGAAAAATGCATTAAAAGTTTATAAAAGAATAATGTAGTACTGTAAAGACTCACAATGCCTATATTTCCAAAACAGTTTGAAGAACAATCTTATCATTNTTATTAAGTGAGTTTCACCACATTTTACAAGTTGGCCATGCCCATCCAGTCACATGGCTGGCAATCCACTCCCGCCCGGTCACATGGCCAGGAATGCCACTCCCACAAAGCAGGCCACACCTACAGAAGAGGTTCTAAAAAATTTTGAAACCCACCATTGACTTGCATATATCTTGTGGAAGACTTTTGAAGGGAAGGAAAATGTCATAAATACGGCTCCTTAATCTTTTTGTTCTTCTGCAGAATGCTGCCTTAAATATCACTTTCTATTGTCTTCTAAATAAGGCTGCTTCCTTTGTATATATTTAGTAAGGTGAATAACAGCTCTTTATTTTTTTTTCCTGATTTACTTTTAAAGATCATATGAATCACTTGTTAATGTTTGACGGCATGTAATAATAGAAACTTCAGAAAGTTTGGTGAATGGGTATGAGTACGACCACATTCCACTATAATGGGTAAATGTTGCTGCTCAAGGGACCTGCTGGCCCTTTCACAACTAAGAACTGGTTGGACCAGATTAGGGTCGTGTCATATGATAGGTCTTCCCTTCTGACCAATCAAATACCATTGTTCTTGGGTGCCTTGGGCACTTTTAAAAAGTGGCTGGGGGTGGTGGTTGGCACAGTGAATTGTTTGGTTTCAAAGAGAAGGAAGGTGAGTAAACATATCTTAGGTATCTGGCTTACTTGCGCTTGCGTTTTGATCTAAAGTGTCTTTTTCTATTGTTAAATCTAAAACATTTGTAAAGTTAGTGCGTATTAACATCTAACACAAATGAGATTAAAACAAAATTTGTCACGGCATTGCTTCTGTTTGATCATGCTAGCTAAATAGAAAATCCTTAAATTACTTACATACCTTATAGTTTAATCTAAATGTGGGGTATTGCTTTAAGCTTTTTATTTTTATGTTTCTAAGAAGAAACAAATTATGATGCCAATGGTAATAACGTACCCTTTAGCTATTGCTGCTTAATATAGGTGAGAAAAACTTGTAGAAAGCAAGTGAAAAAATTGTAAGCCTCCTCACTGTTTTTGAGCAAACAGTTCCTTTTTATTCAGGCAAAGTTAACAGAAAGTGATACCTGTAAGTGGATGTTGTAGCTTTATACCTAATTCAAGTTATTTTACAGACAGTTTCAGCTTTTTCCTTGCTGAGTTATATGGAATGGAGTAGCTGACAAAGCACCATTTTGGACTGGTATCAGTTTGAAAAATCGATGTGTTATGTTCTGTACATTCTTCCAAACTTTGTGAGCCATCTATAATTCTTTTGAACTGTCCCTTATTCAATCTCTGATACTGTATTTATGCTCAGATCCAGAGTTGAATCCTTAAAATATCTACCCTGCTTCCATGAAAATAAATCCTTTCCAGATAATAAACCCAATCCGGGTTTTGAGCACATGCACTAAAATACCCCCCCCCCCAAAATAAGCCCGCTCCGAAAATATTGCAATACAGCAGCAGCAGCCATAAGGTGACCACACTTACCACCTCCTGCACCTCAAAAATAATAAGACCCCCCCCTGAAAATAAGTCCAAGTGTTTGTTTCAGGGGTCAAAAGAAAATAAGACCCAGTCTTATTTTCGGGGTAACATGGTATTAAACTTGATCTTACTTGGAAGTCTTATTCAGTTCAGTTAAGTTTGTTCCTGAATAGGCATAGAATACATTGCAAGCAGTGATGAGTTTCAAAAAATTTTAGAACCTCTTCTGTAGGCTTTAAGACTTGTGGATGTAAACTCCCAGAATTCCTCCTCCAGTCATGTTAGCTCAGGAACTCCGGCATTGAATCATGGAAGTCTTAAAGCTGTCAAGTTACAAGACCCTTGCACCCCTCACCCTTTAGGAAAAAAACCCAGGGGCATTCAAACTTGACAGCTTTAAGACTTTAAGGTTTAGATAGGACTCTTAGAGGCNTAAGGCAGGACTAGAACTCCCCATCTCCCAGTGATCGGCCAACGTCACCTAGCCAGCTTTCATGTCTAAGGCAGGACTAGAACTCCCCATCTCCCGGGGAGTTTAATGAAAAATGCATTAAAAGTTTATAAAAGAATAATGTAGTACTGTAAAGACTCACAATGCCTATATTTCCAAAACAGTTTGAAGAACAATCTTATCATTTTAGCCTTTGCTAGTACTTGCTGTTGCTGTTCCAGGGAGTTCTGCTTAGATCATGTCTTGGTTTTTCTAATTTGCCCAGTAAGCATGAAGCTACCCATGTAGTAGCTTCATGCTTACTGGGCAAGTGAAGCTTCTGCTGGAGGGCTGTCATATTGGGAGTCCAAAATGCTAAGCTATCATAAGATGGAAACAAAAAGAGTTATTTGCTGCCATCTAGCAGTTGCCTAGATTTTTGCAGCTCTATCCTGCTTTGCAGCAACTAAGAAGACTTCACTGGACCATGGTCTAATTTCCAGAGATGTGGAATGAGGAAGAAGAAGCAAGTGTCCTGATTATGTTTGCATAGCAAGCATCAGGTGTGTCATGCACAAATCATTAGCCCTTAGGGCGAAGCCTTCCCTATTCAAGTACCATAGGCAAAAATATGTGTTATACAAATATTTCACTGTTTTTATTACTCATGATGGGGCATGCAAAGATAAAAAAAAGGGAAAAGAGAATAGTAAAAGAAAAGGAAATGCAGAAATTACACAGACATAATGTTGGTGAGACTTTATAAGATGTAAGGGCACTTTAGGTCTTAACGTCTCAATGATTGACATTTAGATGAATTTGAGAAATGTCTAATGAAGTTCCCAGGGTCTTTATTGGCTTTATGTAAATAAATTTTCATAAAGTTCCTGGGCATCCAAATGCATTTTTCCCCCTGTAAAAATAGAAATAATTCCTTTATTTAACAGGACGATGGCAGTTTACCAATTGGAAATCATCTGATGCTCTATGCTCATTGAGTGGTAAATTAGTCAACTATATATTTTAGCCCATGTTATGAGATCCAGCCAATATTTTCTGTGCTTTGGACTTATTTTTATATAGTTTCTCTTGTATTCAGTTTGACCGTGGGCTGTTCTAACAAAATCTTAGTAAATCTTAAATTTAGAAACAATAGAATAAATTCCAATTGAGTTCCTTTCAAATCAAGGAGCTTTTGGCCGCACCTTTCATTGAAATTTATAAAGCAAATTTGTTGTCTCAGTCGGGTGGAGTTTATATAATGTTACACGAAATCCAGTGCCTGATGCAAGACTCATCAAGGGTTTGTCTCAAAAACTATGTGCTATTTTCAGCTCCATTAATTATTGATCTGAAGTTTTCTTTATTTGTTTTTTTTTTTAATATTGTACATAGATACAAGGAACAATGACACAGGACAAGGAGTCATGTGAAGGCATGAGTTCTTTCCCCGTAGAATATATCCTATTATATTATACTTAGTTGAAGTTTGAGATATTCGTAAGTTAAAAGTACAGATAGGCCTCGACTAACGACTATAATTGAGCCCAAAATTTCTGTTGCTAAGCAAGACAGTTGTTAAGTGAGTTTTGCCCCATTTTACGACCTTTCTTGGCACAGTTGTTATGTGAATCATTGCAGTTGTTTAAGTTAATAATACAATTGTTAAATGAATCTGACTTCCGCCATTCACTTTACTTGTCAGAAGGTCGCAAATAGTGATCACATGACTCTAGAACATTGCGACCGTCATAAGTATAAACCAGTTTCCAAGCACCCGAATTTTTATTGTGTGACCATGCAGAGACTACAATGGTCGAAGGTGTGAAAAATGGTTGTAAGTCACTTTTTTCAGAGCCGCTGTAACTTCAAACAGTCACTAAACAAATGGATATAAGTTGAGGACTCATCATGCAGTCCATGGACCAAATGTGTTTTGTGATATAACTTCCAGTAGTTTGGGGGAATAAAGCGCAGTTTCAGATTAGGTTTGGGTCAGAGCTGGTATTCAGTAGGTTCTGACCAGTTCTGGAAAACCGGTAGCGGAAATTTTGAGTAGTTTGAAGAACTGGTAAATGCCATCTCTGACGGGCCCCACCCCACATCTATTCTCTGCCTGTGGAGTCCCAGCTAATCAGGAGGAAATGGGGATTTTTCAGTAACCTTCCCCTGGAGTGAGGGAGGGAATGGAGATTTTATAGTGTCCTACCCCTGCCACGCCCACCAAGCCACACCCACCAAGCCATGCTCACAGAACCAGTAGTAAAAAAATTTAAATCCCACCACTGGTTTGGGTACTGCCTCCTTCATACTGAATCTGTTTGCCCTACTGGATACATTTCTCCTACCATACAGCAAAATGGTTTTGGTTCCCTTTAGTATCCAATTAACCATAGTAGTATTTCTATTTCTGTGTCTTTTGATATATAGCTATACAGATAACATGAGTTTTTGCGCTCTCTCTCTCTCTCTCTCATTCATTCTCTTTCTCTCCCACCCTCCCTCCCTCCCTCCCTTCCTCCTTCCCTCTCTCTCTCTCTCTCTCTCTCTCTCTCTCTCTCTCTCTCTCTTTGGTCTCATTTTGCTAATAGTTTTTAATATGTCCTGATAAATAAACATCAAGCGGTAGTTTTTGCTAGCTAAATTAAACAATGGGTGCTCACTCTCATCTTGATACAGTATTGGGATTATGTGAGAATGTGCTGGATGCAGACTAAATTAGGAATTACTTTCCAACACACCAGCACATTTGGTCCAGAGAAAGAATTTTAAAAAAGAATGAGGGCATTTGAGTCTTTTTGATGCCTCTCCCCAAAAGCAAATACTGTATTTTTCAGATTATAAGACCCACCTTCCCCCCCCCAAAAAGAGGCTGAAAATCTGGGTGCGTCTTATACACTGAATACAGCATTTTTTGCCTCCCAATACCCTGCCCCTTCACCAAAATGGCGGTGGAGAGCCTGTAGAAGGTTAGAGCTCCTGGGGGCTGGGGAAGGCAGAAATGAGTGAAAAATAGGCCGTGTTTTGCTCGATTTTGCCCCTCCAGCCCCCAGGAGTACTCTATAAGCCTCCTAAAGGCTATGCATACACTTTTTTGGCAAAAAACGGGCCTGTTTTCACGAAAAACAGGCTATTTTTTGCTTGTGTCCCCCTCCCCCCCCCAGAGCACTCTGCAAACCCCCTAAAGGCTATTCATGTCTTTTTTTGAAAAAAGAAACCAGGTCCATTTTTGCGAAAAATGGGTAATTTTTGGGAGGTTTGCAGAGTGCAAAACCTTTTTTTTTTTAAATTGCGTCTTCAAAACCTTGGTGTGTCTTATACTCTGGTGCATCTTATATGCCGAAAAATACGGTAATTTTATTTATGTGGACAGATAGTTCTTGAACATTTGATTTTAGTTGTATGTGACTATTTTTAAAGGTGGCTGGGTGGTTGTCTTCAGTTAGTTTATGGAGATTACATGTTATATTTGTTTTATTCCATTGCGAAATACTTGGAATATGTTTGATCAGGAAAATGCGAGTCACGGTGATGCAGTAGTTTGAATGTAGTACTGCAGACTACTTCTGCTGATTACCAGCTGCCAGCAGTTTGGCAGTTCAGGTCTCATTGGCTCAAGGTTGTCTCAGCCTTCCATCCTTCCGAGGTTGATAAAATGAGGACCCAGATTGTTGGGGGCAATATGCTGACTCTGTAAACCACTTAGAGAAGACTATAAAGCACTGTGAAGCAGT